TTGTTGTATATTAATAATGGGGTAGAGGGTGTCACACTACTTCTATAATGCATTACCATTCTTTTATTTATTTAGGCTGTATTTAGATATATTAAGTGCTTGTAGGAGAATAACATTAGAAAATAAAAACATGTGTTCAAAGCATTTATATATGTTGCTCTTGATCGATTTCTTTCAATGTTAAAATCATGTTTAACTAACAAAAGTTACACCTCAAGTGCATTAATTAGTCTTTAATTGTTATCTTTAAAACATTATTAGACCATGTTCATCAAAGAAAGAAAAAATAATTCGTCAGGCAAAAATGATTTAAATTTAATAGGTAAACTTGTACAAAGAGAACGGATGATTTAAATTTAAAGGGTAAATGTCAATGCCATGAACAACAAATGACGATCTATGGAATCTTTAATTAAGTCCAAAATCTATTTCCAGAGACTTATTTAAAGGTACAAAAATATTCGGTAAGGACTACTAGACATTGATCAAGATATTGTATTTTTTGGGTCACACGGCATGGTGATGAACAAACCAAAATTCACAACAAAAGTAGAGATATTAAAATTAATATCTCAGTTTTGATTGAACTAGACTGTTCTATTCAACGATAATAGCCAAATTAATAGGGATAATATCCCTATCACTACAAAAAAAAAAATGTAAATTATCAGATAATTTTTTATAAATACAAATTTGTTGGAAAATTCATATTTTCGATGAAAAAAATTCGTAGGAAAAGTTATATTACCGAAAAATAATTTCTAACGGATACAAATTTGTCGAAAAATTTATTTTTGATGGATACAAATCTGTCAAAAAATTTATATTTTCAATGGATATATCCGTCGGTAATTTCCGACGGATATATCTGTCGGTAATTTCCAACGGATATATCTATCGGTAATTTTCAACGAATTTATCCGTCGATAACTTTCGACAAATATAAATCTGTCGGAAAATTTATATTTCCGATGAAAAAAATTCGTAGAAAAAATTTTATTACTGATGGAATATTTTCGGCAAATTTATATTTGTCGAAAATGTAAGAATTTTTGATAAAAATTGACAATCATATATTAAAAAAGATCATCAATAATATTTTAAATATCTATAATATATATATATATATATATATATATTGAGAGAGAGAGAGAGAGAAAGGAGGAGGAGGAATCAAATGACTTACAAAGTAACTCTTAGTAAAGTTACTTCGCTCAATAACTCAGATGTATGTTGAATTTCATCAATCCAATTATTAAATTAAAAGTTATTAAATTGTACTAATAATTAATATAGAAAAAATTCATTAGCTTTGGAATAAATTATTTGCAAACAATATAATTAAAAAATTAATTATTTTACATTATTTAACTAGAATCTTATTGACAATTTACTATATGATCTTGAGATTTTTGTATAACTAATATCTGGTTTTAAATTTGATATAAAAATATTATGATATAATTAGATAAGATTTTAAATTAGTATTTTATTAATAGTTGATAATTAGAAAATAAAACAAGGATAAATATATTTATTGAATTTTATATCTTAGATTTAATATGAATAAATATATTAAGTTAATTAATAATTTATTTAAAATGTTAAATTTTAATTTATTAAAAATATTTTAAAAGAGAAGGGTTATAATAACACCAGTGTAACTTTTTACTAAGTATTACACCGCTCAATAAGTTTATATTAAATGTGAATTTTATAAATTCAACCGTTAGATTGAAAGTTTTTTACTCTTAAATCATATATACAAAATTCTATATTAATTCAAGATGATTTGATACTTCATTCTTGTAAAACAAAATTGACATAATATACATTTTAAAATATACTAAAATATGAACATCTTGATTATCTTCAAGTTGTTGTTCAATTTTAACAAAATTTGATACAAACATATAAAGTAATATAAACTTTCAATCTAACGGTTAGATTTACAAAATTCACATTTAATATAAAGTTATTGAGCAGTGTAATACTTAGTAAAAATTATACCGGTGTTATTATAACTCTTCTCATTTTAAAATATATAATTATTATTTAAACTTTTAAATTTATAATAAATAATTTAAATTATATCATAATAAATAAGTATATATATATATAAATAAAGATTAATTAAATATAATATAATTATTATTATTGATAATATAATTATTATATATATTATATTTTTATAACGGTCCGAACACACCGAAATAAATATCCAAAGATAATATAAGTATGAGATTGTATAATTAAAGATAACTTAAATAAATTAATTTATATTACCTATACTGAAAACATGCATATGTTTTTTGGTAACTTATTTCATCAAAACTCCACAATTAAGCGTGTTTGACTTGGAATAATATAGGGATAGAAGACTTTCTGGGAAATTTTCTAGAAAATTATGTAAGTAATAACAATACACGTTGAAAAGTGAAGTATTTTAAAATAAAATCTTGAAAGATTAAATATAAAGATTGTTACATTAATAGGGGAAAAAAAAAGAAGCAAATAATACAGTAGTCAATCAAAGATCGAACCGATGCTTTTCCAAAATACAAGGAAAATATAACCCTCGGCAATAGAAAGTTCTAAAGCCATCTACATTTGTCACGAATTATTTGATGATTAGTATAAAACCAACTGGCGAACTTTACCAAATGTTGTATTCGATGCAAAGTTGTAACATCAGCATTCGATGCAAAGTAATACTAAAGCTGAGCATGACTATGATCTAACCAGGAAGCAAGAGTTACAAAATCACAAAATCCAATCATAAAATAACTTGTTCAAGCTAGTTGAGATAGTAAATTGACAGCTTGAGTGAAAATAACTTCCCTGTCAGCATGGTCAGTTTCAGGAAAAACTTTGAACAATAATTAAACATAACTAGAAACATCAGCATAGGCAATTTCATTGCTGCTGTGACCCTGATGTTGATGTTCCAGTTTCAGCTGGGGCAGCTGCAGCTTGTCCAGTTCCTGTCTGTGAAGACCCTGGCTGCTGATAAGGATGATTTGAGGGTGGAGGTTGGGATGGAGGCCCTGCAGAATTGTATGCAGGAGGTGGGTACTGATGATAAGGAGGAGCTGGTGGCATATAACCATATGGAGGAGGATAATACTGACGATGATATTGGCCAGGTGGAGGGGGCATCATTGGACGAGGATAATGTTGCATTTGCTGCTTCTCCAAACTGGGCTTGTTCTCCCCAGGCCCAGAAGGCCCACTAGGAGGACCATCCTGTGATGGAATAAGAGCTCCCATTCTTTGAGGATCCATTGATGGGTAGTAGCTTCTTTCCTGCTGAAGAGGTGGTGGATTGTTGTAGTAAAGCATTCCTTGGGTTTGGTCCTGGTTCTGCTGCTGAGATATAACTGCCCGAGGTAACAATCCACTGTGAGCAACGGAGGCCTGCTGCCTTGCTTGATCAGAGCCATCTGATTCAGGTTTCGATGTCTGAGGCCTGCCCCACATCAGCTTTAGCCTTAGGCCCTTAATAACCAGTTTGTTGGAAAGTTCTTCTGCTGCCTTTTCTGCACCTTCTCTGGTTGTGTATGTGACAAAAGCACAAGCCCGTTGGAGAACCATTTTGATGGATTCAATTTCTCCATGGGCATAGAAGTGATCCCGCAAGTCCTGCTCAGTGACCCTGGCATCAAGTCCACCAACATAAAGAGTTTTAATGCTCTCATCCTCAGGAGCCTCCAGAGTGGTCATCTCTCCTGCCTTGCCAAGTAGCTTCAAAGCCACTGGATCATTCACCCTGAACATTTTTTAAAGCATGAACAGCAAGTTAACAAAGTCAAAAGCATGAAGCAATATTTAAAATGTCACTAACTACACCATTAAGGATAACATCAATATCTGTAATCACAAGAAAATCATGCAGAGAAAACTAAGAATAAGTAGCACATAGGTTAATGAGATTGAAAAGGAATGAACATTATACCCATGATGAACAAAAATATAGAAACCAAAAGGTTGTTGTCACAAAAAGATGTTTGATGGCTATTAACTGCCTACTACATCATTTTTGGCTACAATGGAGAATTAAAGATAACACTATAAAGAATTTTCCTTCGTCCATGTCAATAAAACCTCTCACTGCAGCTTGACAAGTAGCAATGTACAAACAAAATGTTCTTAAAAGTATGAAAAATTAAAGGCTAAGGACCATAAAGGCAACATAAACTCTTCCATTTCACTAAAAACCAAGAACAACAAAATACACAACTTTAGCCACACACAGAAGGAAATAAAGAAAGAGTCATAATTGCAAGTAAATGGCAGGATTATGTTTCTAAATGGGTAGAAGCCATGGCGACTCAGAAGCCTGATGCATGTACAGTGATCAAGTTCTTAAAGAAGAATATCTTTACCAGATTTGGAACACCGAGAGTGCTCATTAGTGATGGTGGCTCTCATTTCTAGGTAGGAGAATCAAGTCTATAGGGGTCAAAGGATTAAAACCATACACTACCTCAAAAGGAGAAATATTGGTAGCCTTATGGACTACCCTATTGTAGGCAAATTCAATGTGTGGTAGGTACTCATCCCAAGATTTGTGATTACCCTTCAAAACAACCCTAAGCATAGTGGATAGAGACCTATTAACTACCTCAGTTTGACCATCAGTTTGAGGATGGAAAGTAGTAGAAAAGAGGAGTTTAGTTCCTAGTCTTGACCACAAGACACGCCAAAAATGGCTTAGGAAGTTAGTGTCTCTATCTGACACTATGGACTTAGGAAGTCCATGAAGCTCAACCACATCCCTAAAGAAGAGTTTAGCAATGTTTCTTGCATCATCTACTTTGTGGCATGGAATAAAATGGGCCATTTTACTAAAGCAGTCCACTACCACAAAAATAAAATCCATGCCCCTTTGGGTTCTAGGTAACCCTAGCACAAAATCCATGCTAATATCTACCCAAGGGGATGAAGCAAAAGGAAAAGGTGTATATGTACCATGAGGCATAATCTTGGATTTAGCTTGTAAGCAAGCTAAGCATCTAAGAAAATGCTTTTGGATATCTTTTCGCATATGGGGCCAAAAGAATTTTTCTTTAAGCAAACTTAGAGTTTTATCAACTCCAAAATGCCCCATAAGCCTACCTTCATGACTCTCTTTTATCAATAGTTTTCTCATGGATCCTTGAGGTATGCATAGCTTTCCTTCTTTATACCAGTACCCCTCTCAGCCATGTAAAAACCATTGAAGGCTTTTTGTTGACAATTTGAATAAATACTAGCAAAATCTAGATCTTTCTCATACATTTCCTTAATGGTGTGTTTGGATGAGGAATTTTACAAGTTCAAGGAATTTTAAATTCTTGGTTTTTGAATTACTTTGATTTCAATTTTTATCATTCTTAAAATATTTTGTTTGTATAAGTTAATTCAAATTTCTCAAATTTTAAATTGTTAGTTTGAATATGACAATTTGATTCCACCATGATAAAATTGATTTTAAAAATATATTTATATGTTGAGATTCTTAAATTAAATTTTATAAAAATAAATATTAGCTAATTTTTAAATATTCACTAAATAAGAACATGAAGAGATAAGAGATAAAATAAAATATACAAGTGAAATAAGAAAAAAATGAGGAATTTCAAATTCTTACTTTTTTGGGAGAATTTGAAATTCTACTATTTCAAGAAATTTCACAAATGCTTGAATTTCAAATTCCTTATAAATTCTCCATCCAAACAAAGTATTTCACCTCAAAGAATTTGAAATTCTTCAAATAAATGAATTACTCAATTTAAATTCTCCATCCAAACACACTATAATATTATTAAATCCAAGGATTTGAGTTTCCAAAGAAACAAGCAAAGTATGTCTTCGTGATAATGCATTAGCCACAACATTAGCTTTGCCTTTCTTGAATTTAATAACATAAGGCAATTGTTCAAGAAATTCTAGCCATTTTGCATGTCTTTTATTTAACTTACCTTGGCCTCTTAAATACTTTAGTGACTCATGGTCGCTATGTATCACAAACTCCTTGGACACTAGATAGTGTTCCCAAGTTTGTAAAGCCTTGACCAATGCATACAATTCTTTATCATAGATGGGGTAATTGAGGGAGACACCTTTTAGTTTTTCAGTAAAGTATGCAATGGGGTGTCCTCCTTGCAATAACACAACCCCTATACCAATTTCAGATGCATCACATTCTAGCTCAAAAGTCTTTTCAAAATTGGGTAGAGCTAGGATGGGTGCATTTGTAAGTTGGTCTTTCAAAAGTTGAAAAGCATGGTCATGTTTATTACCTTACTCAAAGGGTCATATTTTTTTACAAGCTCATTCAAGGGTGAAGCAATGGTAGTGAAGTTAGGCACAAATCTTCTATAAAAACTTGCAAGTTCATGAAAACTCCTAACTTCACTAACATTCCTTGATTTTGGCCACTCTTGAATGACTTTGATTTTCTCGGGATCCACTTGAACCCCTTCTTTACTAACAATGAATCCTAGGAAAACCACATGGTCCACACAAAAAGTACATTTTCAACATTAGCAAACAAGTGGTTTTGCCTAAGAATCATCAAAACTTCTCTAAGATGTCCTAGATGATCATCTTGAGACCTACTATAGATTAATATGTCATCAAAATAAACAACCACAAATTTTCCTATACACTATCTCAGGACATGATTCATAAGCCTTATGAATGTACTTGGTGCATTAGTTAAACCAAAAGGCATAACTAACCACTCATACAATCCAAACTTAGTCTTAAAAGCAGTCTTCCACTCATCACCCTCTTTGATTCTTATTTGGTGATAACCACTTTTAAGATCTATTTTGGAAAATACGTTAGCACCATGCAATTCATCAAGCATATCATCAAGTCTAGGGATTGGGTGCCTGTACTTTATTGTGATGATGTTAACAGCCCTACAATCACAACACATTCTCCATTTTCCATCTTTCTTAGGGACTAACAACACAGGGACTCAAACTCTTTTGTACCAAACCCTTATCCAATAATTCTTAAACTTGGTTCTCTATTTCCTTGGTTTCTTGTGGATTTGTCCTATAGGCGGGCCTATTTGGTAGGCTTGCCCCAAGCACAAAATCAATTTGATGCTCTATACCCCTAAAAGGTGGAAGGCCCTTTGGACCCTCACTAAGGAATACATCATCAAGTTCTTGTAAAAGTTTTGTTACCCCAAGTGGTAAAGAACTAAGCTAAAGATTTAAATTATGACACTTCAACACACTTCTACAAAGAAAAAGGTAAGAAGACTTTTCAACAAAAAAAAGTTTGTTTCAAGTTATCTTCTTGTTGAAGTCCTTCTAAAGAAAGAATTACTTCTTCCTTCTTCTTCTTTGTGGACTTATGTTTGTCCTTCTTTTTTGTTTTTTAACAATTTTTCTTCTTCTTCTCTTTTCAATTTCATTTGTACTTGATCTTTTATCACCTTTGAGGGAGATAAAGGATAAAGTACAAATTTATTTTCTTTATGAGTGAAAGTTATCTCATTAGTGAGACCATTATGCATGGTTTTCTTGTCAAATTGCCATGGTCTTCCTAACAAGATATGGCAAGCTTCCATAGGAACTATGTCACAAATCACTTGGTCTTCATAGTTGCCTATGAAAAACTTTACTTTCACTTGTTTATCTACAATGATGTCCCCATCTTCATTTAACCAATGAAGTTGATATGGTTTTGGATGGGGAATTGGTGTTGGGTTTAGCTTCTCAACCAACCTAGTGCTACAACAATTGCAACACGAACCACTATCCACAATTAAAGAACAAGCTTTATCCAAAATTTTACACCTTGTGTGAAAAATGTTCTCTCTTTGTGAAATATGTGATTCATTAGGTTGACTTCCTAGAAGTCTCCTAATCATCAACAGTTGACCATCATAAAGATAAGCATTCTCAACTTGATGATCTTCATCACTAGAATCACTATCACTTGAAGTACTAGAACTTGTTTCATCATGACTACTATAAATGTCTTGTCCTCTTAAAATCATGATTTTTTTGTTTGGACATTGAGAAGCTATATGGCCTCTCCCAAGACATTTAAAGCATTTGATATCACTAGTTTTAGTACTAGAAGTGATGTAATCATATGTCTTCAAAACATATAAGAGTTGGAAATAACATCTACATCTCAATTCTCTTCAAGATAGACAACAGTAATAACAACTGTAAAATGTCCTGAAATCTATGTAGATCCATCTATTTTGTAATATATTTAATTTTAAAAACAAAAAAAAGTGAGGAATGAGAACAATATTCAATAAATATAATAATTCAAAAGAATGTACAAAATTATTTATAATCAATATTGAACACACACATATATAATCAATATTGAACACACACACACAAACACACATATATATATATATATTAAATTTTCATGTTACAATAAAATTTGAATTATAATTGTAGTGACTAGTCAGGATAAATGAACATCATCATAATATCAACCAACAAAAAGATATTTCACCTTAACCAACAAGAGGATATTTCACCTTCATTTCTTACTCATTTAAATCCTCAAGGTCAAACCTCCAGCTACAAATAATTCAAACTTTATCTTCTATGGTCATAGAATAATATTTATTTTCATAAATACATGAAGAAATAATAACAAGACAAGTCCAAGATATCAAAATTATATTATAATTGATTATAAAATGTATTTACATTAAATAAATTTGAATAATATTTACGTAAAAAGAATATATTAAGAATCTCAATCATATAAATGAAAATGATAATCATTATAAAATAATGAAACACATTATTAATTCTTATGGATAAAAATAAATATCATAAGTTGAACAAATAAATGAGGTTAAAGACACCTCACTAAACAGATACAAATAAAAATAACATAAATAAGTCAACAAAATAGTATTAAACTTTTAAAAGAGATAATGTTCTCATTTCCCTATCTCAGAACATCGCCTCCTCCTCTGGATTCCCTCTTCCTTTCTTTCCCTCTTTCGTTCTCTTTCTTTCTCTCTCTCTCTCTTTCTCTTTCTCTCTCAAAGTTTTCACTTCAGTCTGTTATAATTTTTCACAACCCCTCCTTCCTATTTATAGAAGTCTGGATTGACCAGAATGGCCCGTTCTGAATCCGGAACGGGCCGTTCTAGATCCATTTCGTGATGTGCAAAATTTACAACTAGAACGGTCCGTTCTCAAGACCAGAACGCCCCGTTCTGGAATTGATATTTATTCACAATGACCATAATTGGAACGTCCCGTTCTCAACTATGGTCTTCAGGTACTTTAAGTAGCTTGAAACGACCCATTCTGCGCCAACAAAAACAAGTCTCTTTAAAAATTTGAAACGGCCTGTTCTGAGCCTTCAAAATACCAAAATAATATTTTTATTATTTTTAATTATAAAATTCCTTTAATAATCTCCATAAATATTAAAAATAAATAATAATCAATTATTAAAATCTCTAAAATATTCTATAAAAACCCTTTTTATTAATTAATAACTATAAAAAAAATAATTTTCATAAATATAGAAATAATAATTAACTATTGTATAAAATTTGGAATGTTACAATATTACCCCCACAAACTATCCATCTCCATTACACACATGACGGTGGGAAACCTGCAGGGTTTGTCTTAGCTTCTCTTTAATCGATAAAAACGTGTTAATAGCATTTATATGGTGCTCTTGAAATTAACTTCCATCAATTTTTAAATTATACTTAACAAATAGAAGTCATGTCTGCAAAAAACTATTTCCAGAGACATTCAAAGGTGCATAAATATTCAGTAAGTGCTATTAGACATTGATCAAGATATTGTATGTTTTGGGTCACACGGCACATGGGGATGAACAAATCAAAATTCAGAACAAAAGTAGAGACATTAATCTAGATTGTTCTGTTGAATGATAATAGCCAAATTAAAAGGGATAATCTCTACATTCATTTTATGTCAGTAATTTCACTTCAGTGTGAAAAAAACTACAAGTGGAGATAGATGCCAACTGACACATGACTACCCTTTCAAAATCTGAAGCCTGCACAAGAGGAACAAATTACATTTCCTTTTCTATGATTGTACAGAGAGCAAGCACACTTGAAAAGTATCTGTCTGCAGAGAAGTTTACATTCCCCAGAATCCATGATGGTTGATGCATATCCAAGGTAAAATAGCTATACAAAAAATGATGCAACGATGATTTCTTCATCGAAAACATCAGATGCCAGTGTCCCAGTGAATCTTTTTGTTCAAATGGCTACCAAAATTAACCCGGTTCACAACTGTCCCAGCACTGCTACTCAACTATTTACTACCTTATTTGAAAGACAACTCCAGAGTGTGATGTTCACACAAAATAGGGCAGGGAAGGAAAGAAGATCATGATTAGCCATTGCACTACTACAACCAAATCTAAAGCAAATAAAACTGTAAATAGAGATAGTCGCGGATTTTATAGTAATCTTCACAAAGAGGACCTTCAATAACGATTTGCTGAACACCAGAAGCACCACCCTATTAGAGAAAGAAATCATCTTAATAGATCAGAATCTTGATCATAAAACTGGACAGTCTCATCTATATTAAAAAATGATCAGTTTCTTCAGGATGCACGAAATTAACAAATGTTTAGAAGAAGCACTTGCCTTCTGTGTTGCATCCCCAACTTTCCTAAGAGTTACATATTCACCACAACGCAAAGCCCCTCCAGCAAATTCCACCTATAAAGTTAATGGTGTTAAAATATATTTTTTCATAAAGAATATATTCAGTGTAACACTTTTTTTCACACATGGTAAACAACATTTTCACCCATTTTTCATCGGCTTAAACAAGATCAATTCCACTATTTGCATGTCTGCTAGGGAAATGAAATGGAAATCACTGCATGTACTAATAGACAATCTGAATCGGTGACTCGAACTGAACAAGTACCTGGACACCCTTGCTAGAGAGAAACTGTTTGATATCTGCCAATTTCACATCACCAACAAGAACAGATTTATGGGGAGGAGCTGCTCCGGTGACAGGGAGCAGTGGAGAGGAGCAGCGAAAGAGTGTCATTTTCTGTCTTCCCTACTACAGCATCAACCCAAGCTATTTCATAATCTCCCAGCTGTAGTTGAATATATATTCGTTAATGAAAATATGAATTCCCCAACTAGTGGGAAAATGATTGGTTGTTGCTATTCAACATGATAAATAACAGGTGAGTATATAAACTGAAACAGTTCAGACATCAATTGTTTACCTTTTTGAAGAGTACATTACTCATTAGCTTCTCAGATAGTTGCACCTATACCAAGAAAGCACATCATGATTAACTTCGATGATGTGTAGAGCTGTTTTCCAAATGCATGAAATTTGACATCATTGTACCTTATAAGCACATAAATCAGAGGTAACATCAATTGTCTCTTCAATTTGGGGAGCATAAACGTGAGGACAAACATGCTTTAGGCAGTGCTGCTTCAGATGCTCTGTAGCCTCAGCTGACCCATGCACCAAAACCTTCCCGGAAAATCATCAAGTATTCATCATCATGCATGATATTAAAAAGTGGCAAATGATATAAAAAGGATACATTATAATTTTGTTCCTTAAATTAATATCATATATCAGAGTCAACTGGATCATAATAGTTAAAATGCTAAATACTGTGAAGCAATTAGAAAACATACATGCAAAGAATGCTTACTATGCCATGTGTGTCAAATTGATATGGTACATGTATCCTGACACACAGTTCCTTGATACCGAGTTCAGCCTTCGATAATTTAAGTGTAAGATAATTCTTTCATTAGTCGACAAAATTTAGTCTAAACTACTAAATTAGTCTATCAAATAAACTACAAATTTGGCAGGAGCAAATTAGTCTGAGGGATAAAGTTGTCCCCTTCTTGTCTAATGTTTACTTTTTTTGTGTCTATACTTCACAATCATGAGGGATTAATTTATATTACCGTCATCATTTACAGGAATTAATTTGAAATGACTTTAAAAATATTTAAGGACCCCGGTACAGTTTTATATTAGTCAAGGGCAATTTGCTCCACCAAAATTTTTCTTATTTGATATTGGTACTCTAATTTTAGGTTTACCAAATTACCAACCTCGGTAAGTTGTAATGATATCTAGTGATAAGTGTTGTTTATGCACAATTATTTAGCGACCATTTGGAAGCAGGGAAGGAAAAAGTTAAAGAGAAATTATGTTTCCTCAGAAAATTCACCTCATTTGGAATTGAGAAGAGGAGTGCTAAATATTTAGTGTTTGAGACCATCCTAAATATTGGTGAATTTTAGTGTGATGGATTTTAGCTTAAAAATAAAAAGATTTTTTTGTTCTTCTAGTTTTATGCATTTTTAAAAAAATTATTTTTTCAAATCATTATTTAAACCCACACAGACCAATTCGTTTATCTACAGGTTTTGATAGGCCAGATACGGACTTGAAAAAAAAAAAGTCCATTTATTTTGCAGACCGGACTTGTCTAGCTCGTATAAAATTTGGGTTTTGCGGGCCAAGTATTAAACAGGACAAATCAGTCCAAATACCCAGTCCTGGTCATTTGTCAGGAAAACCCAGGATTGATCGCTTTGTGATTGGACCGATGCTGAATATCTTATACTTAATGCAGAGCATTGGATAATCCGGAAGACACGGAAATCTGGAAAATTTTGGCTAAAAATATACAACCATTGAAGCCACATTGCCATCTGAATGCCACATAAGCAATCACGGGGTATTGCATGGCCATGTGTTAACAAGAAAGCGTTTCTGCTATAACTATATAGACCATCTGAGATTTTCTCACACTGAGTTTCCCAGGATCAAGTGATGATACGACACAATCATGTCAAAAGAGAGCCTCTTCTGTTTAATCTACAGTAAATAGTAAATACCATATTGTGATTGTACGCACCCATGGGAACCCCTAATATGCTCTGTTTTCTCTGGTTTACCCTGCTTTACTATAAAAGAGACAGAAACAGGCAAATCTTAAATGACACTGCTAACAAATAAAGTGTTTTTAGCATCTATATACTCAATATTAATGGAAAAATTCATCTGAAGTGGGGAAGGCTATGGTTGAAGTTCTGAAGCTCAAGTGTATTAAGGGGAATTGGACGACTTGCCTATGGCCAGAAAGGGAAACTCAAGGTTTTAGAAGGGAATCAATGGAACCTGGGTTAGGTTTGAAAGAAACACATAATTCATTGTTCTTCACACTTGTCTTAAAACTGTTCGATCTCAAACAATGAAATTGCCTTTGATGGCTACCCTTCCAAACATTACAACCTTGAGTTACTCAGCTTTCCAACCCACAAAAACCCACCACATAAGCCCACAATTTACATATATTTTCCAGCTCCTCTATCTATAACACTAGGACACTAGCCATCTAAAATCCTAATTCCTGGCCATTATTAAAGTATAGGATTTTACTCTTTCTTTTGCTTAGTATTCTGTTTCAATATATGGTCTGTATGTCCAGTCTGATGACATAGTCTGTTTCTATCATTTGTTGTACTCTGTATTGGTTGCAACTGAAAGAGACACCTGTCACTAAACACTATCACTTTCAGTAGGTTAGTTACTTGTTATGCACGCTAGTTGTTAGATAGTTTCTCTTGTACTCTTCAGCAACTATATATAGTTGCTTACATCTTGTAATTCATTCAAGTTAAGTTTTCAATCAGTAACATTTTCTTTTCTCTGAAACTTTTCTAATAGCCACCACTCAACTGTAGCCAGAGGGCAGAGGGTTAAAGTATTACTTTGCTCAAGATACAATAGCTTTTAAAGGTGGCAAGATAAACTACCTGGATGGGGCTGTCCCATTCCCCAAAAATATGAACATCCAAATATAATTTACAGAAGTTTAAATGATGTGCTTCAATTAACTGAAAAGCATCAAAGAGATATATACCAGCTTCAAGGGAGCCACATGAGATAGAATATTTTTAATGGATCTTCCATCTGAACGTCCTTCAAAATCCATGTACACCAACGAACACCTGACTTGCACCTGGAAAAAAAATAATATCAACACATTACACCATCAAATGTAGATTCGGCAGATTTAAGATTCACACGTAGACAAATAAACACTAGATACTAGAAAAACAAGAAATGCATCTGTACATCAATAAATAAATTAAGCTTCAATGTCTCACACTTATGCTCCCCATCTAATGTGTTTCACAGCCAATTAAGAGGAATGGATCACAAGAGCTGCAGAGCATGATAAAAATTAAAACGCACACAACAGTTTTGAATCATGAGAAACCATGGTGTGTTTACAACTCTAACCAATTACATCTATATTCTGTTTGATTTCTTATAGGGAAATAACATAAGATGCCTGTCAGATAAACATAGAACAAAGACACAAATACAATTATGGAACAAATAACTGGTTTGGTGAAGAACAAATATCATTCTGTAAAATCTCACGAACCGATAGATTAAGTCTTTGGGAAAGTCATAAAATTTAATGATATTCAAAATGCAAAAATGAAGGCAAAATTAAAAAGATTCAACTTGGTTCATCTAATCAATTTCTGAACAATAATATATTCACACACTATTCATAAGAAGCAGGAAAATTAAAAATAAAATAAAACTGCTGCTTACAGTCCTCTCATCAGATACGACTTTTGATGGCTTTGTATCAAGTATCAAACTCGCAGCACTTTCATCTAGTTTTCCATTTATATCACCTCCTACCTGATAGAAATAGGAAAAACGATAATAAAGTATCATTAAATTAATAACATAGGGTTGAAGTATAGAAGCTAAACTTACATATTGAAACTTGGAGGTATAGATGTTTTAAAATATAAACTTACATGCATTGCTGTCTGGTCCATGTCTTCATCCTTAATTACATAATCATCTGGATTTATGACTTCACCAAAATCATCCCACTCTGATGTATTCTCATAACAGGGAAACATTGGAGCAACACTTGTCGAAGGGGGAACAAATCCATCAATAAATATGTCCCGGTATCCTCCACCTCGTGTACCAGCCACTACAAATGCAAATCAAATTACTGAAGAAACTTTATAAAAATTGTAAGCACTAATAAAACATTAAAAAATGTCCAAAAAGTTTTCAAGATATGCATAATAATAGACAAATTCATACTTATATGTTTATTTATGGTAAATATGACATGATTTATATTAGACACAAACTACATAATAATATCGCATTAGAAAGTTCATAAAATGATGAATAATGTGTCAAAGACAATTCAATATTGTTTAATGTGTTGATATGGTAGTCTTTTATTTTAAAACACAGAATGTCCATTAAATATCAAGACTCAACCAGTTGAAGACAAAAAGTTCATCTCTATAACCATAGAAATTTTCAAATATACATGACACAACTCAATGAGAAAGTTAAGCAGGAAAGATAATTATTACATGAATATGAAATGATTAAATCCGATTACCTAATTACATTTAACAAGAAAATTAACAAAGCCTTATCCCACACGTTTAACAAGAAAACAGCACCAAATTTATGTTAGCGCTTCAAAAGAATAGATTCAAGATAATATACACAACTCATACCTTCAGCTGATACATGATTATTGCCGGAATCAATGACCATTGGATCACTAGTATTATTATCAGCCCCATGAGATGTTTTCAACTCTTCCTCTTTCATAAGACTGGCTTTTAAAGCTTCTTTTTTAATTCGATTTTGCTCCTCTTCATAGGCAATTAGTTCATCCCCAACCAAAGGAACCCGCTTGGACACAACGACTTTGACAGCTTTTGGTGGTGGATCAGCTTGAAGCATACGAGCTAGTGTGGCAAACTGTGTCCAAACAGATGCAGATTAGTTTAAACCAGGATTGTATCACCTCAAATGCTACAATAAAAAGACATCCAAATGGATACAAAGAAAGGGGTGTTTCAATCATAAGCATTATACTAGTGCAGACAAGAGAGGGAATGAAGAATTCAAGGTATATTGTATATTACAAATAGGCGAGAATTAAACTCAAGCACCATCCTGATGGCCAACAGAAAAAGCTCCATTCCAAAAGTATGATTAAGCTGGTTTTTGCTGCTATTTTCACAGCGGAAAAATCGATGCCCGAGACCATGCCACATTACTTTAGAAACACCTTATAAACAACTTATGAACAACATTACTTTATATTCACAAGGGGTCAAGGACCAGTGTCAAAGTAGGTCTCACATTCATTGGTACATGCAAAAGAGAATGTTTTATAGAGCAATACAGTAACTAGCAACTGCAAAAGTAAACACAAAATTTTTCTCTCACTATTTTGATCTTTGGTGCCTCCAGAAAAGCTAAAACAATGTTCATACTTCATATTGAAACATGTAAATAAAGGAAAAAAATATTTTTTTAAAGAATATACCTGGCCCCTTTCGGTAAAAAGCACAAGATTTTTTACATCATTGGCCCACTCAACAAATATATCATGAGAAAAACCTGCTTCCAAACTTGCCATGGATGCTAGAACAACCTGTGGAAGGTACATGTGTTAGAGTCGGTAAGGAAGTTGATCTGATGAAAAATAAGCATAAAAATTATTTAACCTTTGGACCCTCTGGAGCATTGTCTAGTTCAGTCTTGTTAATCAGAAGGGTGACATTCCTGCATGTACAAGCATTGTAGTTTTTGACAGAAGACAACATTAGCATTCATATAAGGAGAGATTAATGATTCGTTAGATATCCTTAAATTGTGAAAACATTAGGTTTTCAAAGCAAAGAAAACCTTTATTTTAGATATCTCAAGAAACTCAAGTAATCATAGGTTTAACATGTCATGCAGTAAGTAGGTGTTAATAGCATTCCTGAGAGCCAAAAAACAATATATAAATAAACAATTGACATATGAATATCTTACTCCAACTTTAAGTTAAGGATGAGACCACTTACTTCAAAAGAAATATATTTTCACGAGTTTTTTCAAAAGACTTCGCTATGGAATCACTCATCCACTCAAGGAAACTCTTCACATAATCAATTGTGCTGGATGCAACATATGTAAGAAAGTATATCGGGTAGTTCAAGTTTTCATCAGACCAATACTGCAATAACCAAGATCTGATATTAGCTCACACATATAGTGCAGGGGAAAAAAGTAGAAAGAAGGTAGAAGCACACATCCTGAACTGACCGATTCCAACATCAGAATAAGTTCCAACACTCGTCCAGCAGTGTCAACAGGTAGTAATACATTGCCACCTGACCTTAGAGTCTTCTTTAAGCTATCTAAATAATCAACAAGATATATGAACAGAATAACCAAAGCACATAAATCCTAAACAGTATTTTTTTTCATTTCTTAATCAAGATTGAAGTACATGCTTGCCTCATCAGTGAATGTACCGGCATAAAATATTTCAGTTTTCTCAAAACAGCAATTCAGAAAACAAAAAATGAAAAAGTCCATCTCCGTTGGTTACCTCCAAATTCTTTGTCCATTTGACGTCTGTAAGGCTGATTGTTCAAAGCATTGTAAGCATCAGTTATTAGAACAGCTGGCCGCACCATAGAACCTAGAACAGTTCCATTCAAATGCCTAATAAAAATTAGATTGATAAGTAGCTTTCTTTTTCTCTCAAAAGATATATAAGATCAAATTTAACAATGGATAATTTACCTTTCCTTCCGATGATTAAAATCAACAGCATATATGACATCCTCACCATCCTTTGTAATTTTCCAAACAGTGCCTCCCAAAAGATGGCCAGCAACATGAGGTGCAATCACAATTCCTTCTCCCTTGCCTAGAGGTGGTTAAAATGTCATTAAAGCTAACACAACTAAAATGAGGGAGGGGGGTTATTAAGTAGTGAAACATGAAAGCATATCAGAATCAGAGGTGCTCTAAAAGAACATTGACCAACAAGGTTATATTGAAGGTTGGGGTCACCATACGTCCATACCCTATTTCATAAAAGTGTTGAATTGATAACATGTTTTAATTCCACACCACCAATCATATTGTGCATTTATATCATTCTAACTTCTGAGGCATGGATAAATACTCCATACCATCTGTAAACTGTTTAGACAATAGGTACTAAAAAAATGTGTTGATTTTTTTTAAAACCAAACTAACAGGGTACTTTGAATTAGTGGATTTACATGATTACTAAATTTACTTTCAAAGCACCAAAATATTTGAAATTGAGGTCCATTCACATTTCACAAATAAATTGATTTTTTTTAAATCCTTCTACTCGTTAACAAAAAGTCAAAAAGTATATATTGCTCTTGCAAATAATTCTAAACACCAGACATGAAAAATATGTGAAATTGTTATCATTCAGGGCTCTGTTTACCAAATAAAAATAATCAAGAAAAGTGAGAATAATATTTTCACTATATAGCCTGGTAATAAACATAAAAAATTAGGATAACAACTCCTTCAACATCTAGGAAATTATCCTAAACGGCATCAACTTTGGCCATTAACCTGCTAAAACTCTCAACTTCAGGGAATAGACCACTTTAAGTTGGTCTCCCCAAACCAAGTGTTTTACATCTTCAGCTCCCCTATGAGAAATATCCTTAGCTTCGAGAGAGCTGCCCAGATGTTAGATTTCAGTTTGGAGGGAACTTTGGATTTCCTAATCCTAATGAACTTAAAGTAAATGTCAGCAATAGAAAATTTCATTACAATAAATAGAGGTTTGAACGGTATTATGGTTCAGAAACTAGCCTATACTATGTGCAAAGTCAACTGCAGGGAGGAGTCGGAGAGAATACGGAGGTGGAAGAATGGAGTTAAACAAAATGAATACCACCACTTCAGCGCATCACATTCTAACAATTGTTCAAATGCCTACCTGAGAGATGATGATTCTGAGAGTACGTTAGCCTCGTTACACTCTGGAAAGCAGAATCAATATCGTCCAGCGTGAACAGATCAAATTCTGATACTTGCTACAAAAGAATGAGGTATCTCAATTCTCAACCTAACCATCTTAACAAACATTTTCCAAATTCTATTTGGTCACTAAAAAGACAAGCACAAAGAAAAGGATATGAGAGATCCAACATCCTGCAAACCAACAAGCACAAAAATCCTCCTTTTAACAGCAAAACCAAACAAACTAGAATGGAATTCCACCTTTCTTGAGAGGTATTGGTCATACATAGTGAGAAGGCCCAATCTGTAGACAGGTTCAGTTGAATAAACAGGGGCCGATAGTCCAAGCTGCTTCATGGCATAAGGGAGTGCACCAAGGTGAAGTGTATCCGGATGTGAAAGCAAGACTGCATCTATGGTTGATGCTACCCTACATGCCAACCACACAACCTCAACAAGAAATCATAGGTAACAACAAAACACAAACATGCCCAAAACACAAGTTTCATTGTCATTCATAATTATAATCCCGTCCCACAAAATAAATAAATAAATAAGTAAAACTACTATTCTTTTCTTCTTCTTTCTAGTTCTATGGCCTCAACAACAATTCTTAGGAACTGAAAATCACAAAATATTTTGAAACAATGAAGGGGGGTTTGAGACAAATATACCCACATAATAAAAATCAATCTTTCCACCACAAACATGCCTTAAACATCAATTTCATTTCCATTCACAATTATAACCCCACCCCATAACAACAACAACAAAAAAACATTTTTTTTTTCTTTTTTCTAGTTTCTATTGCCCCAACTATAACTCCACTACGTCACTAGCCAATACTTTGGAGCTGAAAACCACATCACATTATGAAGCAATGAAGGGGGTTTGAAACAAAGATACCCACATGAAAGAAAAAAAAAATCAATCTTTTTAGGCTCCCTTAGAAAGGGTAGATCATAAAATGCAAGAAAAGATAATAATAATAAAAAATAAAAATAAAAATAAAAAAGGGTTTGGTTGAGAGAGAGACCTAGAGAGGGGTTGAAGGAGGGAAGGGTCGAAGTGGTCGTTCCAGCCACAGTCAACAAGGAAGTTGAAGGTATCAATGGAGACCAAATAAGAGAGAGGATTCTCATTGTACACTCCACACAGAGGCGTTACCTGCACTGATGTTCCCATCTGAACTCTCTCAACTCGTGCTTCCTCTCTCGCGACTCAAACCACAAAGGGGTTTATGTTTATGGGGGAGAGAGGGAGGGGGAAAATGCAAATGGCTTTTTCTTAAACAAAATAAAATAAAAATGCATAAATTATGTGAAAACATTAAATGCGTTAATAAATAATGTTTTAATAAGGTAGTAAGATTTTATCAAATAGTTTTTTTTTTTAATATTTTACCAAATAGTCTACTTGACTACTTCAGTTGGTTAGAGACATTTGAGGAGAGATGTATTTATATATTAAACTTACAAAATAATTTAAATATACTTACAGTATAAAAAAAAAAAAGTTACATTATTATCTAATAATATTAAATTATCATGTATTTTTTAAACAACTATCATGCTATATTAAAATTATAGAATTTCGTAAAAAATTGTTAAGCTAAAAATTGTTCCTAACATGTTTGCACATGTTACAAATTTATGTGAATTGATCTAACAAATGTTGGTTCAGTTGGTAAGGAAATGACTCATATCTTAAAAGGATGTGGGTTCAATTACTCTCAATGTAAGGATTTTATTAGTTAGTAAACTATAAATACTTATATAAGTGTTGATAGAGCCTTGAGGTGTGCCCTAACCCTAGTGAGCTCCCAGGACCAAATTCACTTAAACCTTATTTATACCAACATTTTTTGTGTGCATGGATTGATGTATGTGGTCCACATGTTGTGTGGGTCCTATGTTTTATGGTCTTCGTAAGAAATCGTTCAAGTATAAAATAAAATGTATAATTCATACAAAATAAAAACTCAAACTCACACCCCCAAATTTTTCAACAATTCAACTTATCACCAAACCAATTAGGCTATTATTTTAGTATGCGACAAAAATAATATATATATATATATATATATATATATTATACATATAAGTTCATGCGGTTCAACTAGAAATTCACTAGTTCAATCAGACACAAATAATATATATATATATATATATATATATATTATACATATAAGTTCATGCGGTTCAACTAGAAATTCACTAGTTCAATCAATAATTTATCAACATGATACCTTAACCGAATCGTTAATCAATTTAGTTTTGATAAAATTATTCGACAATTGAGGTTAATATGCACAAGAGCCCAAGTTTGAAGCTGGTTGACTTCATTGTAAACTTTTATACTGTTAGGCCTACTCGAAGACTACATTGGTCGAAATAGTACATGAGATTCCTCGAAAGACGTTACGAAGTCGACACCTACTAACAACAAAGGTTCAAAATCGAAAAGAATTATTTCGAGTGGCATAACAGTATGCTCGAAGGGAAAAATAGACGTTGTTAGAAGTTTCTTGTACGATTACACCAAGGCGGTTATTAAAAAGTAGATCGAGGAAGTAAAAACACGTGGGAGGATAGTTATGGGAAGTTATATTAAGCCCACGTAAGCAATGTAGTGGATAACAGTTATCCATGCCCACGATACATTCTCACGAAATTAACTGCTATCGATTAAACTCTATAAATATGAGGAACATATACCATCACGAGGGTCAGAAAATTCATACTAGAACTAAACTCTCAAGCACTCTCCGCCTGCGCATATGGCTTTCGTGCAAGGAATTGTCTTCGGGTATGATTGCTTCTTGGCCATTTCCCTTTTCTGTTTATAGGAGTAGATTTAGTGTAGTTTCTTGTTTTTCTTGTAATCACGTAGTGAAATTGTATACTTTGATTCATGTGCTCCAATGTAATTTGATCAACATGCAAATTGAGCCATGATTTGTATTGCCAACATACGTGTCGTTCATTCTGTGCATTTGAATATTTACATACATGAATGTTATTGCTTGATAATAATTAGCGAATATTTGGAAAACAAGCAATTATTAAAACTTTCTACTCTGTCTCTTGCATTACATTTCATAAATTTATAAAAATACCTAAATTGAAACATTTCTTGTGCTAGTCCGAATAAAAAGAATCCGTAAAACTAATTCCACCGTAAACAAATTGGCACGCCCGGTGGGACAACATTTTAAATCATAAACACATAATTGGACTAGTTTTAGGTATGTATGTTGTATGAGACTTAGGAGTGGAAGAACCATGTCTATGTCTAATAATAGGAGAGAAACGAACAATGATAATCAAGTAGATGTAGAACAAGCGAATCCCAATCCTGACAATGTGACTAACGTAACCAAGGGGGCAGCATCTTCCCCTGTGTTACTCGAAAATGTAGCTAGGCAAACTAATGTAACTCAGGAACTAGCAAATGTCAATAGGGAGTATCCTTGGGGTATGCCATCAAATTGGCGAAGTACCCAACCCGTACATGTCGAAATGCCAATTCCTTACTTAGGACCAAATCCGCAAATGCACGTATCCCCACAGGGATATAATCCTGGACCAAATGGTTTAGGTTTTGTTATGCAAGACCCATATCAACATGTAAGGACAAGTCAGGAAGGTTCCTTGATTCGTCAGGGTAGTTATGTACCCACTGGGATTAGTAATCAAGCCATGATGGCTCTTCGACAACAGATGGACCATAGTAATCATGACATGGTTAATTTGTTGTCAACTCAAATGCATAATATAATGACTCCTTTGTATGAATTAATAAACAAAATAGGAGATAAATTGGGTGATGGACCACCTTCAAGAGCCATGAGTGCAAATCTAAACGAGATGGAAAATCTAGGAGAGAATGGAACTTTTCCTCAAAATGTAATTCGACCTAATAGGAATCCTCAGGATAATTTGGATCAAATGGTAGAACGGATATTGAACAGGCATGGTTTCGAGTTAGGTCGAAATGAATGTTCTTACTTTGTGTCACCATTTCTAGATCACGTAACTCAAGTAGAGTTGCCTAGGGGGACAAAGGTCCCAAAGTTTTCAAAATTTTCGGGAGAATTAACTGAGTCTACAGTCGAACAAATAGCTAGGTATCTAGTCGAATGTGGGGATTTAGCGAACAATGAGTATTTAAAAATGAAGTATTTTCCGAGTTCGCTGACTAAGCATGCTTTTACATGGTTCATAACTTTACCTCCTAATTCGATAAACACTTGGGTTCAATTGGAAGGTAGTTTTCATGAACATTTCTTTAGGGAATAAACGAAAGTTAGTACAGTCAATCTAATGAACGTTAAGAGACAAAGTCATGAAACGTTAGATGACTATTTGAATAGATTCAGACAATTAAAATCTCGATGTTATACTAATATACCTGAGCATGAATTAGTTAAGATTGCAGCAACAGGGTTAGATTTCTCAATACGTAAAAAATTGGTAAATGAACAGTTGAGAGATATGGCTCAGTTAGCAGAAAAGGTAAGAAGGATCGAACAAATTAAGTTAGAAAAAGAAAGATTTAAAAAGTTTGATAGGTTTGTTCGAAAAGAAAAGGTAGCTTATTTAGAAAATGCATAGATAAGTGAGGATGCTAACTATGAGATTTCGAGTGAGGATTTTGAGGTTAACTTAGCAGAATTGTGTCCTAGTCCTACTTATCAATGTCAAATGTTAAAACCAGGGGATAATATAGAAGGGAACTCGACCAAGAGATATAGTTTCGATGTGACTAAGGCAGACAAGATATTTGATATCCTATTAAAAGATAAACAAATTGTACTCCCAGAAAATCATAAAATTCCACCATTCGAGCAAAGAAAAGGGAAGAAATTTTGTAAATATCACAAAATGTATGGTCATTGGACTAATAACTGTGTGCATTTTAGGGATATGATAGAGAAAGCGATCACTGATGGTCGCCTTGCTTTCGAGGAGAAAGACATGAAAGTGGATACTGATCCATTTGCTGCTCACACTGGATATGTGGAACCAGTCTCAATGGGAAGCAACATGGTTGAAGTCAATATCGAGGACGATAAAAATATCGAGCCTATTTCTGATGAGAAACTCGAAGAACAGATGGATGACTTCGCTAAGGAGGAAGAACCCATCTATCCGAAGGAAGAGGATAGTTTAGTCGAGTTTTTATCAAAGAAAAAGGAGATTGATAGGGAGGTTATGTTGTGTCCTCGATGCAGTGTTGTCTTCGACAGAGTTGCTGCTAAGGCTTTCGAGGAGTCAGAAATGATGAGGAGCTACAAAGCCGAGAAACTTCGAGAAAATCCTAAGATTAATGCTGGATCGAGTGCTGGGTTAACCATGAGGCAGGTTCACATGCCTCAGTATAATGCTCCGGTGGGAAAGATGGAAATGTATAACTCATCGAGATTCAGCAATACTTTTGTGCCGAATGCAAATGTTCCTGTAGGAAAATGGACTGCCCCACCAAGGCCAATGATTGGTGGAATGGGTTGAGGGAAGCAAGTGATGAATTATGCTGGTCATCCAGTACAAGGGACTCCCGGAAAGTTCTCAAACATATCTGCAGGGCCTGGTAGATTCTCGACTGGAAGTTATGGGCGTGGTTTTCGTCAGCCCTTTAATAACTTAACCAAAACTTAGTGGAGGAGGCAGCAAAGGATGCGAAAGGCTACCTTTGAAGGGTTCAAAGGGAACCGTTTTTCGATTCCTGTACCTCAAAAGGGGGAATCCTCTCGAAAATTCATCGAGGATGATGAGGATCTGATAACTGATTGTTTCGAGAGCAGTTTTGATGATTCTCTGGAAGACATTTGTGGGATAGTATCAATTCTGCCTTCCGAGTACGCTAGGGCCATGGAGTCTGTAAATGAACAAGAGGACATTCATCGAGAAGATTTCTTCGATGATCCCAATTATGAGTCCAAGATCGTGTGGATCAATCAGATCTCGAGGGTTATCCCCAAATTTAATTCAGCTGTATTCGATTCCCCCACTGAAGAGATGAAAGGTCACCTTAAGCCTTTATTGCTAACTTTGATGATCAAAGGGCAAGAGGTGAATAAGGTTTTGGTTGACGGAGGTGCAGCTGTGAATATCCTGCCTAGGACAATGCTGAAGAGGTTTGGGAAGTCCATGGCTGATTTGAAGCCCCATAATATATTGATCTTGGACTATGCAGGAAAGTCTTCACACCCTGAGGGTATGATTCTGCTTGATGTTCAGATCGGAAGCGTGAAGAGAACTAC